TTGAGTAAATTAGCGTCCTTAAATTTCGAAATATTGAAGTTTCAAGCATTTCTGAAATTTACTGTTATATGAAAAGCGGTCGTAATTTTAGTTCGATTTCAATAATTTTCAACGTTTTGCTTCTATGTGGCAAGCACAATAACCACACCGAGTTTGGTACAAATCGGTAGAACGGTTACCGAGATACATATATGTGATCATAAGTGGGCGGTGTCACGCCCATTTTTCAAAATTTTATCCTAAACGTATTTCTTGGTAAAGAGTTGTTGCAAACATCAATTTTGAATAAATTAGCTTCAATAATTACTGATTTATCGAAGATTTCGTATTTCTCTAAATTATTGTTATATGGGATGTGCGCGTGGTTATTGTCCGATTTGAAAAATTTTCAGTCATTTCGTGTGTTATACCAAGGTTAACAACTGTGCCAAGTTTGGAAGAAATTGGTGCAGCGGTTACCAAGATATACACATGTAACCATAAGTGGGCGTGGCTACGCCCATTTTCCAAAAATTTATAATATTTTCATTTTTCGTCTAAAACTTATTGTAAATATCAATTTTGAGTGAATAATCTTCAGTAGTTTCTAAAATATCCAGTTTTCGTATTTCTGAAAATTACCGTTATATGGGAGGTGGGCGTGGTTATTGTCCGATTTTACCCATTTTTAATACCATCCGTCCTACGCCAGAAAGAAGTGCACGTACCAAGTTTCGTTAAGATATCTCAATTTTTACTCTAGTTATCGTGTGCACAGACGGACGGACGGACGGACGGACGGACGGACAGACAGTCACCGCTTAATCGATTTCTCTTTTCATTCTGATCATTTATATATACATTTGTCTATATCTATCTCGATTCGTTTTGCCTGTTACAAACAACCGTTATGTGAACAAAGTTATAATACCCTTGTGCACAAGTGCGCTCGGGTATAAAAATGCAGGCAATGTTATGCACATGTTTGTGCTAACCAATTTATTATTTTTGTACGTGTTTTTGCACAAGAATGATAGAATACAAGATTGCGCCGTCCTGGGCGTTGACATTTGTGTACCACAAGTAAACAACGAATAGAGCGAAAAGAAGAACGAGTTGAAACTGCCAAAGCAGTTCACTTTACAACGAAAAACGTGTTTTAATTTTGCTAAATGCGAAAATATTGCATTTTTCACCTAATCTATTAGAGAACAGTGAACATTTTAGTGCACTCCATTGCTTTGCAATTGAGGCTGCTTCAGCAAACGTTTTAGTACACTCCATTGCTTTGCAATTAAGGCTGCTGCAGAAAACTGCAGCAGCATCTCTGCGGGATTGATTAGTTAACTTGCTAATGGAGGCTGCGTGGAGCAGAAACAAAATCATTGTGAGGAATTGCTGTTAATATAATAATAGAGAAATATTTCGGGAACGGCTTTGCCGTGCCCTATGTACACAAAATGCAGCGATTCGTCCCAGCGCTACACTTGCATCTTGAGGGCTGTCGCAATTTAACACACATCACTTCATTGTATTAGTTTTTACGCAGTCTTCAACTCAAAAATCACTCACAAATTGCAAATTAACACAATTTAAACTGATTTTTCACTTATAATTCATATTTCTCTTTCGCTGATTTGTAAACAAAGGTTTATTTACAAGTTACCACAACTGTCAAAATCGGCAAAACCCAAGTAGCGGTACCACTGACGGCGCCACCTTTGTTCGCTGCACCGTGGTTTTTGCATCCAATCACCGCGCACTTCCTTTTAATTATATTTGCACAAAAAATCACTGAAATAAACCACCGACAAAATACACATAAAGAAAGAAGCAAAACATAAAAAGCAAACTTCAAAATTACGAACGTCACACACTTTTTTCTCAATTGCTATTACAAATGGCTGCTTCTCAACCGGTCAGATCTGTTCTGGTTCATCTGTGTTGGTTCATGGTTAAAAGCTTACCAACTCGAAACCACGTCGAAAGTCTGATACAACCTATGGGGATATTTGTGTGTCCCTATTAATAAAACACGTATTGAAATAAATACTTTCTTATATTTTATCAATTACGCTAGAGCGTTGAACGTTAACTTCTTTCGCTTGCAACCAAAAAGACCTTCCATCTTTGCAACGTGACAGATCTTCAAAATCGTGCGAAAGAGATAAATATATATATACAAAAGTGAAATTAACATACGAATATGAATAAAGAGAATGAATATTCCCTACAGTACACCCTCCTAAACTTTGAATTTTTTAAGTGGGTTTACATGTCTGTTAAAAATAAAAATTTAAATGTTTATGCTACTTAAATATGTATCTAGTTTTGAATTTTACAGATTTTTTTCAATATGTTTTCAATGGTTGAAAATTTGCAGCAGGAGTATTGCGATCCTGCGACTCTTTTTCCGACGGCGGTTTTGCATAACTATGGTCATTATGAACTGTATTGTAGATTGGTCGTGAATTCGGTTGAGTTACAGGAGTGTATTGTTGTGTTGAAGTTGCGGGAAGTTCGTTGTAATCGATTATGTTTTCTGTTGAAGAAGATTCCGATTGAGAGTACATGTTAGACGACGTGTTCGTTTGCGTCTGGTCCACAGGGTTAGATGAATCATCATTTAGCCAAATCCTCTCCAGATGCGCAGGTTTGAGTCTCTCTATTGAAACATTTGTAGTTGAGCCCTTGCGCTGGATTTGGAAAACGCGATCAGTAGGTCGCGAGATGACCTTGAATGGTCCTTCGTACGGCCTTTCGAGAGATTGGGCATTGTCTTTGCGGAGAAAAACGTGTGTGCACGTTGCCAAGTCTTTGTAGCAAAATGGTTTGCGTTTGTAGTTGTGCGCTGTAGGAACTGGTTTTAGCTCGCGCATGTGCTCTCTGAACTTTTCTAAGAAGATCTGCGAATTTGATGCGAAATCATTATCATTGAAAAACTCACCTGGCACTCGCAAAGTGGTGCCATACAGGTATTCCGCGGGTGATGCGTTTAACCCTTCGCGTATGCAGGTACGAAGGCCTAGACGCACTGTTGGAAGCGTTTCCACCCAGTTGAATCTAGAGCCATGACACATGATTGCTGATTTTAGGGAACGTTGCCAACGCTCGATAAGTCCATTGGAAGCAGGATGGTAAGATGTGGTGCGCACACGTTGAGTTCCCAAAAATTTTAGTAGTGCACTGAACAAGGCCGACTCAAATTGCGAACCTTGGTCCGAAGTAATGATCTTTGGTGAACCAAATCTGCATATCCATCCGGCGTAGAATGTCTTAGCCACAGTGTCTGCAGTTTGATCCTTCGTTGGAAACGTTTCGGCCCACCTAGAAAACCGATCAATGCATGTTACACAGTACCTGAATCCATTACTTAGTGGTAGGGGTCCAATCATGTCGATGTGAACATGATCGAAGCGACCATCAGGAGCTTGGATCACATTAGGAATCTTCTGGACGTGGCGGCTGGTTTTTGATTGCTGACAGTCTACACAGTTCCGAGCCCAGTCTACAATATCACGTTTCATATTTGGCCAGAAGAAACGTTGTTGAATTATGCGCAAAGTGGCTTTACCGCTTGGGTGCCATAAACGATGAAAACTGTTGAAAATTTGTTGTTGTAAAGCTGCAGGCAGATAAGGGCGACCATTGTCAGTCGATGTTTCGAGGACTATCGGTGTCTTTGAAGCACCCCAATACATCTTGGTGAATTTGCAGGAAGTTGACGTTGACTTTAAAAGTTCTTCTAATTCCTTATCGGACTGTTGCTGCTGAGCCAGATCAGTAATATCGAAACTGGCTGGCATGTGAAATGCGTCCACCCGCGAAAGAGCGTCCGATACAACGTTATCAGTGCCGGCAACATGGAATATGTTGGTTGAAAATTGCGAAATGTATTCCAGTTGACGTTATTGTCGAGGCGACGCTTTATCAGTGCGCTGCTTAAATGTGTAAACTAAGGGTTTGTGATCGGTGAAGATTGCAAAATCACATCCCTCGAGATAATGGCGAAAATACTTGATGCTCTCGTGGACTGCAGTAAGCTCACGATCGTACGTGCTGTACTTTATTTGAGCCGGAGAAAATTTTTTAGAGAAAAATGCAAGAGGCTCCCACGAAGAGTTGTTGTTTCGTTGTTCGACCACCGCACCCATAGCCATGTCAGATGCATCAGTGACTAAACGAAGTTGCGCGTCTGCGGCCGGATGTACCAGTAGTGTAGCATTCGACAAGTCAGTTTTTCCTTGGAGACCGTTGGTAAAATCTTGAGAATGGGGGATTGAGTATCTGTCGGGCACCGTGACAGAGTTTAAGCGTCTGTAGTCACCGCATACCCGCCAGTCGCCGGTCTTCTTTTTGACTAAATGAATAGGGCTAGCCCATGGCCTGTTCGAAGGACGAATCCATCCTAATTTCATCAAGTACTCCAATTCGGCTTTCGCGGCCTTATATTTCTCTGGGTTGAGTCTGCGTGCCCGTTGAAACACCGGGGCACCGTAAGTTGGAATAAAATGTTCCACTTGTCGTTTGACGGGTGCATGGTTTTGTGAAATACCAGTGATCCCAGGAAATTCTTTGAGAATTTTCATGAATTCACTCTTTGTGTCGTTTATCGTAGAAATTTTGAACTGCTCTGTAGAACTGATAAAGCCTTTTGATGTTAGTTTGGTTGTCTTGTCAATAAGAAGCTGCCCTTTGAGATCGATGAGCAAGTTGTAGTGCGATAGCAGATCGGCACCAATGATTGCGTACGGAACAGCGGCGATGCAAAATGTCCACTCGATTGGTCTACGAAGCCCTAGATCGAGTGTAAGTCGCTTATCTCCGTACGTTGGGATTGTAGTATTGTTGGCTGCAAACAGCTTAAGATCATGTGCGATTTTAGTGGCAGAGTAAGAGGTTGGAAGAAGAGACAACTCTGCCCCAGTGCACCAGGAATTTAGCTCCGGACAGTTTGTCCGAAATTATCAGACGGTTGTGAAGCTTGCCACCATGCGCCGCCTGCACGCAAGGTGGTTTGATTAGTTTTCCGAAGAACTGGTGTCTTGTGCCATGAGGCACGGTGGATTAAATTTTTTTGCTTTGATGCCGTATTTGTTGTGAAAGAAGCAAATTGATGGGTTATGACCTTGAGGCATAGGACCCTCCTTTCTTTGCTGCTTGCTTTCGATGCTTGTGCTGCGTACTCTCGAATATCGTCGATTACTTTGAAGCGTTTTGACAGTAGAGGCCAGTTTATCTACTTTCATTGTCAGTGCTGAGATATCCTCCATCAGTTTGTCGAATTTACTTGGTGATGGTAGGCGTTGGTGGTGTTTAACTTCAAACACGTTAGTAGGTGATTGATTCTTCATAATCTTGTCTGCAATTAGCGCTAGACTGTCGATGTCGTCGGATGGACTAACGGCTAGAATGGTCCGCACCGTGTCTGGAAGATGTTCCAAAAATAGAGATTTTAAAACTGTTTTGTTGCAGCTACCAGAGGCTGCATTTCTTAAAACCATTAAGAATTGCGTCGGCTTTTGGTTGCCTAACGTTTGGCCTTTAAAAAGTTTTCGGAGTTTGGTCTCCTCCGAGCAGGAAAAGGCTTGAATAACCCTCTCTCTAAGGACCGAGTACTTAGTTTTATCGGCAGGAATGGCTTCTTTGTTAACACTGGTTGCATAAGGGTTAACTTCGGGCGGAGCAAAACCAAAAATGTAGTGGAATTTTGTAGGTTCACTCCTAATGTTGTTAACATGAAAAATTGATTCTAACTTTTCGAACCAGGTCTCTGGGTCTTCTGGATAAAACTCAGGTAGCTTGTGTAGCCGAACCACCATGGCTTCCATGTCGGTTGTAGTTGTACCGCCTGAATTTGCGACTTGGTCGTCATTTAAAGACATGTTAATGATTGCAGTCTCGTATTTGTGCGATTTGAAAATTTTTAGGTCGGTGATGCTGCTTTTCGCTGTAGTATGATACCTAACCTCACACTTGTGTTGTGAAATTGAGGCACTAGAAAATTCTGTGGCAGCTGCACTAGTGTGGCGTCGTTGCCTTTCTGTTGAAAATGAATTAACGCGATTTCTTTAAGTCACTATTTATTGTGGCTGTTGTCAGGGGTCACCAATTATAGGGATATTTGTGTGTCCCTATTAATAAAACACGTATTGAAATAAATACTTTCTTATATTTTATCAATTACGCTAGAGCGTTGAACGTTAACTTCTTTCGCTTGCAACCAAAAAGACCTTCCATCTTTGCAACATGACAGATCTTCAAAATCGTGCGAAAGAGATAAATATATATATACAAAAGTGAAATTAACATACGAATATGAATAAAGAGAATGAATATTCCCTACAAACCCAGTGTTTTCCCGCCATCTGTGGGTCATTCGCGTTAAAATGTAAAAAATTCGTTCCTTACTAGTGTTTGGACTCCACTAAGATCAGATTAGATTTACTCCGGTTTTTGAAAAATTTTAAATCTACTCCTCTGCTCCGCTTGACTTCAAATCTAATCCGTTTTTTTTCATTCATGTTATGCCCCTCTTAGGGCCGTGTTCTGAGTGTTCACCACCGGTTTTAAAAAAAAATTTAAAGTTAGCCAAATCTCACTGTTAAAAAGTAACTCTTTCATAGAAATGTGTCAATAAAGTAACTTCGTTATTTTTTGATGTGTGGCTGTAGAAATTGGCGGATGCAAAACTTTAGTTAAGTTGTTAAAAAACATATGTACAATGTAATTTATATAAAGTAGAAAAGGTTTAAAACCTATTGATCTTTAAAAAATTAAGTGTTAGATATTTGTCTACTTTATAAAAAATGCTAAAAATTACCTAAATATGTAACATGATATCCTTACATTGCCTCGCGTTTTTATTTTGCATGAATAGAAAATATTTAAGTCAAACAATTAATGTCAAAAACGAAAATAAAAAATTCAATCTAGACGGATTATTTGTTTTTGCTCCGATTTTTGCAGCGATTTAGTCCCGAATCAAGTTGATATCCAACATCATTCTCCAACTCATCTCTAACCGACGCGCATATACGTAAAAAGTGATAGAGAAACGAATATTTAATTATCAAATGAAAAACTAAAGCTATATAAAGAGGAAAATTACCAACAAAAAGTAAATAATCTTCAAAATATCCTCAAATAATCTTGAAAGAAAATAAAACGCCAAGTGAATCAAGTGGCAAAATTACTGTCGGATTGTGCACTGTGAAGTGAATTATTGTAATACGATTTTGCTTAACTACATAATACAAAAGGAGTAATAAAAAGAAAAATAATATTTAAATTCATCTATGTACAGTGGCTCACAGCTTATTTCATGCAGGTAAAGTATTAAAATTTCGAGTGCTGTATTTTGAAAACCAAAACGTATATCGATGCAATTTAAACACCAAATTGTTGAAATGAAAGTGTAGTTTTAAAAGGCAACTTCATTTTTATTATTTACCGATGGTTTAACAAATTAAGAATTAAAAACTAAAAACATAACCAAGTTTTATGTCACAGCTTATTTCATGCAGCGTATTTATTCTAAAAATAAGTTAAATAAATTAATGATTTAAAAAATATTTAATATTTAGTGTGGTATCCTTATAGCAAAGCATTTGACTAAATATTTGCGTACAAATTTTTTTCAACTGCGATTATTTTTCTTGTCATTGTCATCTAAACTATTAAATTCATATATGTAATACTCCTATATTGGCAGTAAGAGCTAGTACCGTCCGAAAACACTACAGTACAGATATATCAATAAACACGTACGAAAGAAAAGGAACACATACGTTTATAAATAAACATGTACACAACACATATACAAAAACGGCACTCAAATACACAATACATTGACAAAAATGGTACTAGACTGTCTCGCTTTGATTTCGGAATGCTTACACATTGAGAAGTTAGCTTACTGCCAATATAGAAGTATTACATATATGATTAAATTGAAGCTGCATGAAATAACCTGTCAGCCACTGTATGTCGTTTCAGTCAAAAAGGTATAAGGTATTTTACTATTTCAATTTCAGTATTTCAATCATATGTTTGAGACCAATTGGAGAATTACATTGGACTTCAATTTGAGAACTAGCATTTTCTCAACTTGAGAAACAATCCTTTTTGTTGAGAACGCTATGATCCCCCACTTGAGGTACTGTTGAGAAACAACGTTGGAGATTTGAGAAATACCTTAGCTCTCAACTTAACCTCAAGTTGAGCTTAAACCTAAATGTTTATTGGGTGCATACAATTGGGGCAACGTAGCTCGCAGTTGCACCAAGGGTTTTATGTTGGAACGAAAATGAGCAGAACAAAACACCGCGGATTAATTAAATATAATACAATTGCTTTATTGTTCAATTCGGAGAAATATGTATGTAGAGTTAGTGACTTACAATATTACCTTGGTTAAAAATACGCAGGGGAAGTGGCTGGCAGACGTCCTTTGATCCTCGAATTCTCGCAAGAAGTGACCGAGCTAATTCTTGCGAAGTTAAGTTTGACCCCCAAGCCACAAACTGTTTGGAGGGGAAACTTAACGAAGTTTTATATTTAAGCGGTAAACGCATATACGTACATGCTAACAAACTGTTTGGAGGGGAAACTTAACGAAGTTTTATATTTAAGCGGTAAACGCATATACGTACATGCTAACGGCTTAGCATTAATCAGGCTATTTATGTATGTGTGCATCCGTTGCACATTTATACAATTCTACGTTAGGATGATTCACCCTTTTAAGTGATTGATTTAGCATGGAGGCCTAAACATGCCGGCCCCCTTGCTATACGCAACAATAGTTAGTCGAGTCAGCCACCACTCCTACATATAAACAAAGAAAGAAATTGTAACATAAATATTGATTTTCGTTGAGCTGGATACGTAGGTCTCACCATTAATGGTCATCTAGGACTTCTCTGGCTGTGGGAGATAAGAAATTAAATAAACAGGACATGGATTGACATTTCAGTGCACAAATGTAAAAATATTTATTCAAAATGCAAGAGATGTACATTTATTAAAAATTCAAGAGATATATATTTATTCAAAATTCAAGAAATGTATATTTATTCAAAATTCAAGAAATGTATCTTGGAGTTTGCAGTTCATACTCGCCAAGGAATTTTTTAGAAGTGCATCCGAAGATGCTATTCTGTGCCAAGAGAGGGCCGAAGGCGGTAGGAAGGGTGCCCGGTAGAATGATCTACGGGTAAACATCTGCTTCCAGCAACAAGCGAATCGGAGTTGAGGCGAAAAAACTAGGATCTGCCAATCGAATGTTGGTATAGGCCGTGGCTATCGAGCGGTCGACGCTGGCGGTGGGGCTTATCCGCGCATAATTCGCCACTACTGTCGCGTGTACTGATACCCTCGTAGTTTTCCCATATTTCCCTCGCAGCCGAACCATGCAGCTTCGGTGGTTCCCGCGACCAATCTCCTCCAGTCCTAATTCCCGCACTAAATCGGCCGATATCACGGACGTTGGCGCGCATACGTCTGTGGATGCTCGAACTAAATGTAAGCGTCCTCTCGATTCCACCTTAACGACCGCTGTTGCGGAAATCGCCGTACATGGTCGCAATGTCTGAGCGGCGAGCGTTACAGGGCCGGTTCTAAATGCGGCAGGTAACTGGCGGGGCCAAGTCTCCAGTCTACCCCTTTGCTCATTGTGTCTTGAAGTCGCGTTGCTTGTGTCCCGCGGGCGGAAACTCCCAGTTTCCACTCCACGGCGCTGTCGTTGTTCTTCTTGACGGAAAGCCCTTTTCCGTATGAACCGCGGGCCGAGAGACCGAGTCTCCGCTCCGCATTGCTGCCGTGCCATTGACGTCGTCCTGCTTGCTTGGGAGCCCTTTTGCGTATGGACCGCAGGCGGAAAGACCGAGTCTCCACTCCGCAGCGCTGCCGCGCCCGTTGACGTCGTCGGAGATAGCGTGCTTCCGATCCACGCTGTCGCCTTTTAGGTCCTAACGGGGGTCGGAAAGTCCGGGTTTCCGATCCCCTCGTCGATATTGGGACATTCACTTCCGCTACGGGCTCAATTATTTCGCCCTCTTTTATTTCTGGGCGGAGGATTCGGGAATCCGTCCCGGAGTCTGACGCGTATATTGAGAGCACGTTGTCTCGTTCCCCTTCGCTGGTAACCTGCTGGCTCCACGGTCTTCGATAAATGGGCTCCTCGTCAATATGTAACCAAAGAACGTAAATCTATAAGAAGAGACAACTCGCTGAAGTGTGGCGAGTGAGTCTGGAAGGTTCGCAAGAGGAATTCGCGTCCGTTTTAACATCAAGTTTCGTGAATGAATTCGACGCACATTAGATTGCGCGGCGACAAAGAACGTTGAAGAAAGAGTGATCGATGATAGAAATAAAGAAATGAAATAGCAAACAAGATGGCCGCGACTCTTTTTGTTTATTTGGCATCGTCATTTAAAATACGCATGTGCGTAGATTTTCTTTAATTTGTAATTTTAAACAAATGTAAGGAAATTAAATGCATGCGCATGCAAGAGGTTTACAAACTTCCTCTTTAATGTGGAAGTTGTAATTTATGAATGAAAAATCCCCTTTAATTAACAAATAAAATAAAATATTAAATTGAACATTTAAAATCAATAAATAATTCACACCAACTTGTACAAATGTACTCATGCGATTTTCCTCCTAACATATATATGTTTCTGCATCCATGCAAATACACGTACATACATATATGTACACATACGCATATGCGACTAAAATACAACAATAACAAATTCATTCATAAACGCATGCGCATATCTTCAAGGTCAGACTCATTCATTCATATATTCAATGACCATACATCTCCCCGCAAACTCATCGCACACAAGCGCAACTTCTGCGCGAGGGCTACAAAAAT